TACAAACACTGTACTCAGACAGTGCAGGTATACAAACACTGCACTGCACAGTGCAGGTATACAAACACTGTACTCCAGACAGTGCAGGTATACAAACACTGTACCTGAGACAGTGCAGGCATACAAACACTGTACCTAGACAGTGCAGGTATACAAACACTGGGTACCCAGACAGTGCAGGTATACAAACACTGTACTCTAGACAGTGCAGGTACAACACTGTACCCAGACAGTGCAGGTATACAACACTGTACTCTAGACAGTGCAGGTATACATGACTACCTGGTGACAGTGTAGGTATAAACACTGTACCTGTATGCAGGTATACAAACACTGTACCTAGATAGTGCAGGTATACAAACACTGTACCGAGACAGTGCAGGCATACAAACACTGTACTGAGATATAAATTGACTGTACCTAGACAGTGGCAAAATGAATAACGGTGACAGTGCAGGCATACAAACACTGTACCCAGACATGCAGGGTGAAACACTGGGTACTTAGACAGTGCAGGTATACAAATACTGTACTAGACAGTATGTATACAAACATTTGTATTTCAGGACACAGTGCAGGTATACAAATACTGTACTGAGAGATACAGTGCAGGTATAGGCTAAATACTGTACTGAGACAGTGCAGGTATACAAACATTGTACTTCTAGATAGTGCAGGTATATAAACATTGTACTTAGACAGTGTAGGGTATACAAACACTGCAATTAGACAGAAAGTAGGTATGGGCAAAGATTGTACTCTAGATAGTGTAGGTATATGCAGATTTTATAGACAGTGCAGGTATACAAACATTGTACCTAGACAGTGTATACAAACACTGTACTAGATAGTGCAGGTATACAAACACTGTAATGACAGTGTAGGTATACAAACACTGTACTCTAGACAGTGCAGGTATACAAACACTGTACCTAGACAGTGTAGGTGCTGGCAAACACTAGCTCTAGATAGTGTAGGTATACAAATTAAATTGACAGTGAGGTACAAACACTGTACTTAGATAGTAGTATATAAACACTGTAATTTAGACAGTGGTAAGTATACAAACACAATTCACAGTGCAGGCATACAAATGATTGTATTTAGACAGTGTAGGTATAATGTAAATATGTAGGTATAAATATTGTATTTAGACAGGTATAGCACAAAATTTGTATAGTAGGTATACATTGTACTTAGACAGTGTAGGTATAAGGAACATTGTACTAGATAGTGTAGGTAAAACACTTGTACTGAGACAGTGTACAAAATATTTGTGGTTGCGGTGGTATAAACATTGTACTGAGATAGTGAGTATAAACACTGTAATTTAGACAGGCAGGGGTAAAGGCTAAAATACTGTACTGAGACAGTAGGTATACAAACATTGTACCTATATAGTGGTGAGGCAAACACTGTACTCTAGATAGTGGTATATAAACATTGTACTTCTAGACAGTGCAGGTATACAAACACTGTACTCTAGAATAGTGCAGGTATATTAAACATTGTACTAGACAGTGTAGTATACAAACACTGTACTAGACAGTAGGATAAACACTGCAATGAGATGTAGTAGGTATACAAACACTGTACCTAGACAGTGCAGGTGCATATGTTACTGTACTCTAGATAGTGCAGGTATACAAACACTTGTACTAGACAGTGGTGTATACAAACACTGTACCTAGACAGTGCAGGTAGGATAAAATATTTTCGCAATTTAGAGTGTAGTGGTATACAAACACTGCAATTTAGACAGTGTAGGTAGATACAAACATTGCACTCTAGACAGTGTAGGTGGGTACAAACACTGTGCCTAGACAGTGGTATATAAATACTGCACTCTAGAGTGCAGGTATACAAAACATTGTACCTAGATATGGTGACACAAACACTGCACCTAGACAGTGCAGGTATACAAACACTGTACTCTAGACAGTGCAGAGAATAAGCAAACATTGCACTTCAGACAGTGCAGGTATATGCAAAATGATTACCACAGCAGGCATATGTACACGGTACCCAGACAGTGGTATACAAAGCACTGTACTTAGACAGTGCAGGTATACAAACGATTGCACCTAGACAGCAGGTATACAAACACTGTACCTAGACAGTGCAGGTATACAAACACTGCACCTAGACAGTGCAGGTATACAAACACTGCACCTAGACAGTGCAGGTATACAAACACTGTACCTAGACAGTGTAGGTATACAAACACTGTACCTAGACAGTGCAGGTATACAAACACTGTACCTAGACAGTGCAGGTATACAAACACTGCACCTAGACACTGCAGGTATACATGTACAGTCACCCAAGAAAGTCCTGTCGCGAACCATGAACCCCGAGATTCAGACTCTTGATTCCGAAGTATTTATGGACAGAATAATGTATCAGTGTCTACTGCTTCGGGTTCACGAGTCTGAATCTCGGGGTTCATGGTTCGCGACAGGACTTTCTTGGGTGACTGTAGCTAGACAGTGTAGGTATACTGTATAAATAATGGAAAACAATTAAGAGATTTTGTTCAATTTGTATGCTGTAAGGCAAGGGCGGACACAGGAATACCAAAGGGGGGGGAGGGGGGTCCAAGAAGTTGAAGGTGGAGGAACACAGCGAGCAGGTGTCTTTTTTCGGGGGTGACGGGGTGTAAACCCCCCACCCCCATTTTTTTTAAATCTGACCAATACCATGGGCATTTTGAAGTCATGTACACTTGATATTAGGAGATATTCTGAGGTCAATAGTAATTACTTTTTACTTTACTTCGTGAAGAGAGGGGGTCCGATTCTGCAATGAGTATTGTCAGAGATGAATTGTTCTTATAATTAAGTGACTTTATTTAAGTGGATTATTCCACATTTTTACCATGAGTCATATAGGTGGATCGCGCAAGTCCGATGTTCATCACTAGGCCTAAAGATCATCCTAATCATAGCTGCTTAAATAAGATAGTCAGTCCGGTAGCCAGTGGCAATATGAAAATTAGGGGGGTAAGTGACCTACATTATTGAGGTCCGACAGAGAATCGGCTGTTTAAATTTGGCAAAATGTGATGAATTTATGTAAATAAAGTGGAAACATGTTAAGGAAATTAAAGGCAATAGTGGGAGTGACAGCTTTCTAAAACTAGTATCTAGACTGAGTTCCGTACACCAAAGGTACATTCTTTAACACAGTACTTCAATTCATAGCTGTATATTTTTTTTGTCAGATTGGCTTGCGGTGGGTCCCGAAAGGGTCTTCGATTTCATGATTAATATCATCTATATCTTTAAATTTCCCAGTAGTATATGCACATTATTGGAAACCTCTAATTTTGTTATTCTGTCGTAATAAATACCGAATTAATGGATCTGGGATTTTTTAAATTTACACCTGGAAGTCAGGAAATTTTATTTTGTGTGGCCAGTAGACACCCCGACTTTACGTTGCTAATGATCTTCAGGACAGCTGTTATTTACTTAACTGTTTTTTTCATTATCTTAAAATACTTTAATTATGACAAGAGATAAATGAGCAAGGCGAGAGTTTTAAGGACACGGAAGTAGCTATTGATTATAATGTCGTATGTGTGTGTGTGCAACGGTAAGCTTCATCTACCAACCTTTAAACATGATACAACCTTGTAAAGTGAAAGTGTTATCTTACATCGTGTATTAAGACTTTGGGTAAAACGGAACGGGTATTGATCTTCGTGTGTGTGTGTGTGTGTGTGTGGTGGTGCACGTTTTGATCACGTGTGAGGAGAGGGCGCAGGGATGCCAAATGTCGTTTATCTTTTCAACACCTTGCCTCCTCACAATGTTGCTCAATGTCGACTAGATGATTTTTTTTATTAGCTTTTATTGATGTTAAAGCAGGTTTCTCTGTGTTGAAGGCTTACTCTTTTCACCGATACAACTTCAAGTCGTCCTCCAAATGGGCTACAGCTTTCTTTATCAATTACATCCTTCTCTGTCTCTTATCTCTCTCGCTACATAGGGATGATAGCCAGGTAGCGATAATACCATATCTCTTTAAAGAATAGTAACCCCAGCTTATTTCACTTAATGATTAAACACCCAAATGGCAACTCCCTCTAGTGAATCATCAGGTGAAGTAAACAGGGATTTTTATACGAGAGCATCATCATTACTACCCTAATTTACTTATACAGTTTGTTTGTTTTGATGATAAACAACGAATTAGATGAAACATATTTAATTTGACGTTGTGAATTAATTGCCTCTTAAGTTATAGCAAAAACAAAAACATTTCTATTTGGTAAAACTTCACACAACACACGTGCTCATATTCCTCGATAACATAGATCACTTCTTGAGTCTCTTGACCGCGTGTGTTGTCAAAGGCTATGTGACTGCTAATACTGCCACTGGGAAAATGAAACACTGATAATAATGTTGATTAGCTTGAGGTAAGGTTAGGTTTGAGTAAGATTAGGTAAAGTTAGGATAGTTATCGTTAAATTTAGATCATGTTGAGATTAAATTAATTTGGGTTTGGATAAAATTGTGTTGGGGATAGATATGGTTAAGTTACGTTAGGTTATGTATAGTTTGGTTAGGAGCAGAATAAGCTAGGGTCAGGACTGGAGGGAGGGTCTGGGTTGTTGGTTTGGGGTGGGTGACGGCGGGCGGGTAGGGGTGGTTCAGCAGGTACTGGTATGCATGGTGGCTGGGGCCTAAGAATACCGTACCTCAGGCGGAGACACGTGACTTGTGAGGATGTAGGGGTGGGTGGGTAATGAGGATGTAGGTAGGGGTGGATGAATGATGGGGTGTAGGGGGTGGGTGATGAGGGTGTAAGGGTAGATGGATGCTGAGGGTTTAGGGGTGGGTAGATGGTGAAAGTGTCGGAGGTGGCAAAGGTGGGTGGTGAGGGTGTAGGAGTGGGTAGATGGTGAGGGTGTAGGGGTGGGTATATAGTGAGGGTGTAGGGGTGGGTAATTAAACGAATATATGTATGAACTAAGTTTGAATTTTTTACAGAAAAGTGTGAGATTAACTCCATCAGCCATCCTCTACCATGGACGAACTGACGATGAAACAACGACTCTTGTAAGTACTGTACAGTAAATTTGATTGATTTTATGCCTGTTTATTTATCCATTGACTTTTGCATCCACTGAAGAAAAATTTTATGAACTATAATACAGTATGCCTTCTTTCTTATTTATTTTATTCATTTTTTATAGTGTAAAAGTTGTAGTGTTATGGTGATAGCCCATTAATAGTTTTTCCCATACGTTGCAGGTGGTCAGTGAGGATAAGACTACATCTTCCAGTACAGCACTTGCCTATAGCATATTCTTTCACATGGTTTTATTTACCGAGTAGTAGCTTCTTTTTTGGGAGGGGAGGGGAAGATGTACAGTACAGTAGTTGTCACAGTTATCAGTGGAGAACAGTGATTTTTTTTCCTGATTCAGAATACTGTACTTTACCTTGTTTCTGATAGTCACTCCTGAACCCTTGATGAATTATAATGGTACTGTACTTGCCAACAGTACGTAACGGAGAAGTGAGAACTGAATTTTCTATAATTCTGTGTTGTAGCAGTTTTAGAGTTCATAACAAGAGCCCATTCATCCTCTTGTGGTACAGTAATACTATTACACATCCAAGTGTAGAATGATCACTTACTATCCAAATAAACAGTTGGCCTGGCCTTTGTTATGACCTGTATTGTCCAGTGTTAGTACAGGAGGAAATCAGATTACTGTACCTGGAGAAAACCTGCCATGTTTGGTAGTACAGTACTGTATTAAGATAGTAATTGAAATGAATAAGATTTGACTGAAGTATATGTGAACTACTCAGTAATTTCCATTAAGCACTACCAAAAAAGCAAAATATTATTACTCTTTGACAAGAATATCAGTTGCATTGAGCCCCTCACTCCTGTTACTATTCTTATCCAAACAGTATATAAAAACGCCTTACACCAATAATAAAAATTCAGTATCATAAACTAATTGAAAATTCAAGTTTTATGACTTAGACGTGACTGACTTTTCATGATGGGTTCTGGGAACCGTCAGATTTATTTAAAAGTTAAACTAATTTGAGTTTGGCAAATCACTGTTCTTACTGAGTCTTCTGTAATTCTTTCCAGTATCGGTAACTATGTACAGTATCTGCTATCCACCCAGAAATGTTGTCATAATATGTGGTGTTTTGAGCTTGATAGACTTTCTGTTTCAGCGACTTGTGTACCATTTTTGGGCTGCTGTTGTGGGTGCCTGTGCATTTGTTTGTCTATTTATGGTTATATAAAAGCTTCTAGGCTGTAAATTTTATTAAAGATTTATATGATTGGCGTTGTTCTGGTGGCTTGTCAAGTGGACGCCAGATTTAGGACCCATTTTCAGCTTGACCATTAGACTTTTGAGTACAATCTTAATGGACTTCATGCCTAATGCTTCCCCTGTTAGGGGAGGGGGCCTAGGGCCTATTTGAATTGGAGACCACTTGACCTCCAGCCTCAAAGCGATGTAGCAATTAATTGAAGTTTGATAATGTAGCGTCTCTGTGCTATTGATGTACAGTGTGTCTTATAGGTCGGGCACTGTAAGAAAAGTGATTTTTTTTTTCATTTTCTGGTGAGGAAATCATAATGCATCAATACTAAAGGAGAGTCGGTTTAATCTTCATGTACAGAGAGCCAGATGCTACGCACAGTTCAGTTGCAAAAGAATTTAACCAACAGTATCTCAAATCTGTCATCTACCAAGATTATCTAAAGAACCATTGAATAATTAAAGCAGATCATCACATCTGAATGCATTCGTATTACCAATCGTATTATATGAGAGTTGAGGCATTGTGTTCACATAGAATCAACAATGTGTTTTGAGGTAGATGGTGAAACCTTAGAAAATTGACTGTAGTAATTTTATTTTCCAAATGGTGCACAGCTTATGACACCCTGCCCATTATATTCAGAAACAAGAGTACTTTTACTTACCTGACACACTGATCTGTTCCAACACGTCTCCATAATTGGTTTTGTAGTACTGTACAGTATATTGTTTGATGCAGTTCAATACAGGTGTGTAAAGAAACTTTTGATCACAAGTGTTACAATGTAAATGTTGTCAGTTTGCTGTTTTTATTTTATTATGGGAAAAGAAACAGAAGGAAAGTGTGTGTGTGTGTACAGTACTGTATATACAGTACTGTGCTGTATAAAGTGTTTATTAGTATAAAATATTTAAATGTAAAAGTAGCCAAGAAACTTCCCTGTTAAGTACGAGCAATAAGTATACTGTACAGTATTATTACCGGTAAGTACTGTAACTAAAACCCGTGCCATGCCAAGGGTAGTATACAGTTCAGAAAGTGTATAGACACTACAGGTACTGTTTACAGTTTAGCATGTGTATGAACAAATCTGGTATATGGTTAATTATGTATAAAGACAATGCAGGTGTAGGTATACAATTAAATATAGTGCTGTACTTAGTAAACAGTAGGGGTATACAACCAATGTACTTAAGACTTAAAGTATACAAACAATGTACAATACAGTATCTATTAAACAACACAGGTATACAAATGAGGGTGTATCTGTTGTTTACATGCACATATACTAACCTGTCTATCTTCCCTTGCAGAAAAGTGCACTGTATTTACAGAAAGAGTTACCTGTCAGGATTGCGAAGAGAGTTTTAGCCTTCCGCAGCTTACCATTCATTGTCGGCTGTAATCCCATCATACTGGGCGTGGTGAGTTTGTTGTTGTGAGAGTTGCAGGCAGTCGTTTGGGGTTAAGTTCTTCATGTACAGTATATATACAGGGTTGGTTTTTTATTTGAGAATACTAAATGATTACTATATATTATAATTTAGGTACTGTACAAAATATAAAGGATTTTATTATAAAGCTTATCACATTATATAAGTGGGTGGTATGAGAGGGCTGGGGTGAAGGATGCACTAGAAGTAAAGGGAGTTGACATCCAGGAAGCAGGTGTAGGTGTACAGTATGTGCATGAGAAGAGGATGGCATTGGGGGGTTTTCTGGGGAATGATGTTGGCTTGTGTGAGGCTAATGTCAAAGTGTCATAGTGCAAGTAATTGTTCTTGCAGCACGAGCTTTATATTCGCGCCTTCAACATCCTGAACAACTTTGCTCCCATAACTTCCCGGGACGATGAGATCAACTACAGCAGGAAGCTTGGTGAACTCCTTGATGACCACAAGGTGAATACTGTAACAGCTTCATGTGACTGTAACAGGAGTACATTATGTATATTACCTCTCTTTTTAATGAAGTGGACTTTGATAAGTTAGTTCATCATTATCCCTCATCACCTTCATGGTACTTCTAATTAACCATCAGTGTACAGTATTAATAATGAACTGTATCTCTCACAAATTCATCTTTTTTAATACTACTTGGTATCTCTGAAAAATGTATACAGTACAGACAGCCTTACAGATTTTTGTGGAAATCATGTGAATGTTTGTATTACGCCATCATCATTGTCTCCATTTGTGGGAGATCTTGCACACCAACAAGTGAGGAAAATGTTACTGTTGTAATTCTGTATTGTGCAAACATTCATGCAATCTCCACAAAAATGTTTTAAGGCTGTTTGTATACATTTTTCTGATACAACTCTGTACGTAAGAGAATCACCATCAGGATTCAGAACAAATCAAATTAATGAACCAAATGAATTTCAAGGCTGATTTAATGGTATTTGAATGTCTTTAACTTTCACAGGACGTTGTGACTCAACTGGCAGCAGGTTTCAGAGAGTGTCGTCGTCACATTAAGAATGAGGATCTGGTGGCTCAGTTTTTGGATAGAACTCTAACATCTCGTTTAGGCATCCGCATGTTGGCCCAGCACCATCTTGCACTCAGGGAAAATAAGGTAGTTAAACCTCCACAAGGTATATAAGAATGTGTGTGTGTGATATATAGAATGTGACAGTATGTGTGAGTGAGTGATAAAGAGTGTGTGTGTAGCATAAGGGTGTTTAATCATCAGGTGAAAGAAGCTGGGGGCTAACTTCATATGATGCGATATGAGGATTTAGGGAGATAGTTTGTTGATGTACCAGATTTGGTAGGATGCTAGAGACTGAATATTTATTTGAAATGAATTCACTTGTACTCAAATTATATGAGGAAGTTTAACATGAATTTATTTACAGCCAAATTATGTTGGAATTATTAACGTCGGGATGAAACTCAAGGAAGTGATTGAACGAAGCTGTCAGTTTGTGTCTCGTGTGTCTTCTCACAAGTATGGCCGAGTCCCTCTGTTGAAGCTGTCTGGCCATGTCAATGCTGTCTTCCCATACATTGAACGTAAGTACAGTAATGTATTCATGGGTAAATTAATTGATCATTTCACCACTTATCAGCTTGCAAGTCGTTTGGGTGGCTAGTTTGTTCTTTGTTATGACCTTCAATGTCCTGTGTTAGTACAGGAGGAAATCGAAGTGCTGTACCTTGAGAAAACCTGCCATGTTTGGTATAGTCACAGTGGATAAATTAATTACTTGGCGAATGAACCTTAGGAAATTACAGTACATAAGTTATATTAATGTTCCTCACCTCTACATGTCACTTATAAGTTGTGAAATATTTAATTTTATGATTATTTTTGAGTTAAAGGCAGTGAATGGCTTTCAATTAATAACTAATTGGGAAGTAATAGAAATTTAGATGTTTGATTTTATGATAACTTTCTTTGGTTACATAGGTGTGTTCTGGATGAAGTACTGTAGTCACACCATCAGCTAACAATGGGACATTAATCAATACTGTACTGAAATGATTGGTGATACTCCATTATGTATAGTACCCACATCTTGAGCTGCCCAATGCTTGTCTGGTCATCAGGAATTTAACAATACAGTAATAGATTTTAACCTTACTCTTAACTTTTTCTTTTTTCTTACTCAGTGCCGTTGGATTACATCTTGCCAGAGATCCTGAAGAATGCGGTGAGGGCCACTATAGAGAACCACTCCGAGTTTGAGATGCTTCACCTTCCACCAATTCACATCACTATTGCTTCTAATGAGATAGACTTTATTATTAGGTAAGCTTAAGGTTATAGGGCATACTGTACTGTATTAGTGTTGGATTACTACCTCAAACAATTAGATAAAAATGGTTGGCTTAACTAGTTCTTTGCATTATTATTAGGTGTAAATGATTAGGTTCACTCCCTCCCAAAATGAAGCAGCATCGACCCCAACCAAATGAGATAAACAGTCAGGGTAAGTAATTTCTGAGAATCATTCCTGTGACTCGGTTTTACATGTCAGTTGAGGCATTACCATTACTTTGTATGTGTTCATGACTGTGTTAAATAGTCTTTTTTTCGTAATTATATTTTGTATTGCACTGCCTTTATGATAATGCTGTTTATTACTGTACACAGAATCAGTGATCGTGGTGGTGGCATTCCACACCACCTCACGGCCCGTGCCCTCGACTATAACTTCACCACAGCCAACGACACAAGTAATTCCGAGATAGATCAACAAGAAGGCGTCTTCTCAAACATGATGGAGGCCGTGAATCCCAACCCTGCAGGCGGTCCTATGCATGGGTTAGTATTGCCCCAAAATTCCTCTAATTTTTACACGAGCGAGTTTTAGCTGGGGATTATTGTTGTGTATAAGGGTGTTCAGGTGATTACTCTTTGGCTGAAATAAGCTGGAGTGTCCAATTTTCAGATAATTCCATTCTTGTTTGTATATTTGAAGTACATCACAACCTTACAGATTTGGCTTTGGACTGCCAACCTCGAGAGCATACGCAGAGTACATGGGTGGAAGCCTGGAGATTCAGGCCATGCAGGGGATTGGCACAGATGTCTATCTTCGTCTCAAACACATCAACAGTCCCGGAGCATCATTTAGGATTTAGTCAAAATTTGATGTGAATCTCCGAACGCCAACAGAAGTAAGTGGTCTCAAAAGCATGTGATCTTATATGGGATTAGGGTTACACACATATTGGTCATTTACCATTGAAGTACAGCTAAAAATACGAATTAAGACAGAAATTATGAAGATTTAAATTGGGTCAGATAATTTATGAATGATCTGTACTGTATATTAAAGATATTGAGTTTCATTACGGTCATAGAAAGGGTAACTAATGTTATTTTACACTGGAATTTGTTTTTTATTTGTAGAATTCCATAGCCATCAACTATGCCCAAACTCAATATATTATTTTTTGTGTTCCACTTCTTAGATGAGGTCACTTGTATATTATAATGTGTGGGAGGTGAGGTGAGGTGTACTAATTATTAAAGTGAGTGTATATAAAGTCATAATTAACTCCAAAATTTATCTTGCATGTTTATTCAATGTTTAAAAAATTGCTGGAGGCATGTATATATATACGCTGTATTTACTTATTATGCACACTTCAATATAAATTTACATCACACAAGTAATCACCGGGTACTGTGATAATGTCTACCAGCATTTGTCAGCACATGGCTCATCATATTTGAGTTTATGCTATCCCATAAATCCATAAATTAATCAGGATTATCTCCTGGCTTCCACGGGTGGGTTTTGTCAGTGAATAATATTTTCTCTAATACAGTATTTATGACCCAACACCTAAACATGTCAAGTTTCAAAGTAAAAAGCCAAATAACAACATTTATCAGATGCAGTGGAAGGGTCAAGTTAAAGTGTTTGCTTTTGTATCAGGAAATTAAAGGAATATACAAAGACTGAATTACTTGTGTCCAAAACTACACTTTGGCTTGAGACGGTAGCCCCTCCCTCAGTAAAGTCTTTCTTCTTTGGTTCTCAGATCATACCTGTGTTACAACTTGGTGCCTCACACTGTTATGAAGCTGTCTAACTTAAAATTTGTCCCAAGAGTAAACAAATACCTAATGAAGATTACAATTTAAGTAAAGTATAAAATATAACTATGATTCTAACATTAATCCTTCCACATCGGTCCTGAATGTATTAAAAATTTTATGACGATTGTAACATTTAAATTCTTCCTCCTTTTAGGTACTCGTATCCCTTAATCCACTCCAGTGAGTAGTGAAGATATTGGATAGATGGAAAGATATTGTTAGTTTATGTGCATAATATTTATCAAGTTTAATAATTTTTATACTCCTCAAATTGTCCTGAAAGATAACTATGGTTATTATTCATATAATGATATACATTTTTGTACTTTTATGCTCTTAATAATTTTATCGGTGTAATTCCTTATGCTGTATTACCTTGTAGTGGTGAGAACTTGTCAAAAATTTAAAGGTCACTGTTCACACAAGGTTCTTATACAAACTCCTGTCAGGACAGGATTAGCAACAAGAAACAGTTCCGAGGTCATAGCACTGTACCCTCGTTAATTCCCATCTTTATAATTCGGATTGTAGCACAATTCCTGTTTTTTATTTTAAATGAATTAAACAATTTGAATTCGGAACGAATCTGAAATAACCAAGTGGTTCCGAAAAGTCGACTTGGCTGTCACCTAAAATATTCTATGTATAAATACTGTGCAAATACAGTATAAATATTTTTTAAATGTACTAAGTACAATATAATAATATAAGTAAATAATACAATAATAAATAAATGTAACACTTACATTGCAAGGTGCGCTAATAACATGTAGATTATATTCCGAAAGTGTAATGGCCACACTGTTAAAAGAAGTAAAAACCCACATTTGAGAAATAAAAAACAAAATCTTGGAGTTTGGATACAGTACTATGACTCTCTTCAGTCAACTAACAGAACAAAGCAAGGGAGAAAAACAGAACAAAGGAATCAGGTCACATAACCTGTCTCCTGAGTAGGGTGGGGATTAAGGATAATATTTTTAAATGACATCCATACATGTGTTCACTTGCCACACATACAAACCCATGCTCTTCATATTTTTTTAAGCTGTACAGATATATTATATTTTCTTTACTTTATTTCCAAGCCACATTAGAGTATTGTAATGATTATTCCACCACTTTTATAGTTTCATTACATGTAACAACGGCAATGTGCCATCTCAAGCAATTGTTAAACGGAGTTTTGACCCAACATTAAATATTGCATGTTCTTGTAGGCATGTCCAGGTATCTGAACCATCAATGGTCCTGAAGAGTTTGGATAAAAGGAATTGCACTGTACCCAGAGAAAACCTGTGATGTTTGTTACTGCTGTACCAACACCCCTAATGATATAAATGTGTTCCTTCCACTATGCTGGTGAAACACTATTTTAATATTTAGTTACTTAAGTTCTGAATGATGGCTTTGTCTCTGTTCAGATCTTTGTATTGTATTCCATGAAAATTTATTGACTAAAAAAATATTTGGGAATTAAGCATTGGTATGGTATGAACTTTTTGTAAGAACTAACTTAATAGGAATATGTAATCACTTTTAATGTATTTACAAAGAAGAGAGTAAGTTACTGTGTAACTCCCTACCTTATCTCTGACTTTACCTTACAAAAGCAGCAACTGTTCCAATGATGCCATTATATTTAAGTATATCTCAGCAGTCCATATACATGCAGACTTCCATACACAAACAATACCTCATTAGTTGGGAATCAAACCCTGGACCTCCACATGTGAACAGGGATCGCTACCATGGCACCACAAGGACAACAAAAGCAATCCTAGGCTTCACTTGGTTTTATTTCACACAAAGCCTGCTCTTTCATCATATTTTTAAGCAATGTGAGCCTTTTGTTGTCCTTGTGGCGTCATGGAAGTGATCCCTGTCCACATGTGGAGGTCCAGGGTTTGATTCCCAACTAATGAGGTATTGTTTGTATATGGAAGTACTGTATATATATGTGTCTTAAAGACTGTTTATAAATATGTGTACTGACATACTGATTGTTGGTATTCTACCTTATGATGGATGCTTGTACGTTCATTGGAGTTGGAGCCCTCGAGAAAAATTAAGTATAGTTACTTATCAGTACACATGTTAGTAAATTACAGGGTGTCTCAGATAAATGTATACACACTGCCTTAAGAGATCTTTGTGGAAGTTGTATGAATTCTGGTATTACAACAGGATCATTGTCCTCACACATCAATTGAGGACACTATTGCTACTGTAATACTGTACAGTAGCTAAAACAACTATCTGCAAGTGGGGGGGTCAAAAGGTCCAAAATTTTACATGTTATGTACTAGTGACAGCCTTCATATACCAAAATTTATCGTCCATGGTCTCATATTGTTTCCCACAAAGTATGCACAGATAGTTGTTTTAGCTACTGTACATGCATTCATGTAATTGCCACACAAATTTATTGGGCAGTGTGTAACATTTTTCCAAGTCCCCCTCTACATGTATTATCTCATATTAGACCATATATTTATGAAGGAGGAATTTGGTCTGGATTTTTTTTTTGAGAAATATGCAGACTGTCATGACTGTTGTGTGAAGATACAGGACTTTACATGCCTGTAATATAATTTTAGTGACAATCTTCATCTTACTTCTGATCCTCTTAAGCCAAGTCTGTTAAATAAAGGTATACTGTAACTTTTTTGGGCATATCTTCTGTTTAGGTGATGATTATTGTAACTCTGAGAACAACGAAAGGCAAGACATGGCTAAGAAAATGTGATGATTTACATTAGATATAAACATAAAAAGCTTAAATTTTCCCCAAGGGTATACATAAAAATATATGATAGTGAACAAATTAATATAAATTCCAAATACAGTATAGAGTTTTTTAATATCTTATATGTTGCTTATAGTAATGGAAGATCATTAGAGATCTTACCTCTGATATTTCATATGTGGCTTTAATATACAGATTTGTACTTATCAAGAATTATTCTACTTTTCTTCAGATACGTATTATCACATCTGTGATTATTCAATTGTTTTAAATATTATTTTTAAGAAGTTTGAAAGCATTTACTTTTTTTTATTTGATTATCATATTTGTGTGTGTAGAGCTTTAGTCTGTGATAATAGATAGTACTTTATATAAACAATATCTACTGTAATTCTAATATTGTATTTTTATGTTCTCGTGTAAGTTATGGGTAAATGGATTTATAAATTGTTTTTTCTTTATACCCATTGGTATGGTCATCATTTTGTGCTGACTGATTGAAACAAAGAAACTGGCAAGTGGAAAAATGTTAGAAAGTCAAAATTTCCAGGTTTACAATTAATTGTGATAGTTTTGTACAGTCAACAAAAAAATATTCTGCAACTTTATGGTGATATACAATATGACATACCAGACCAAGAATTCTGAACAACCCATTTACACGGGTGATTCCTGTTAATTTATCTGTATTAACTAAGTGATATAAAAAATACATCATACTGGTTATACAATGAATCACACAACCAGAAATACAGTACCAACCTTACCAATTTAACATGGCCTCAGTCAGTGATCGTTGCAAAGGCCATCAGACCAAGGGGTGCAGAACATTTTTTTTGCTGACTGTACATTGGCAGTATGTCTGGCAGCCACCACCACTTCCCCACCTCACTTCTTAGCTCCTCCATACACTCGCACCTGCCATGATGTGTCTCTACAAAAATTCAGAGATGAAAATACACCCAAACTCTGGCATAGTTATACTACTGTACACAGATGAATAATGCTCATTATCTTACTTGGCTTAAATATTCATCAAAAGAACTAGCAAACCAATTCTAATCTACAAAACCTTTCTGACAAAATGAATGGAGTTAATATTACATCAGGAGTACTACTGTGTCTATCATACCTGCACTCTATTGTGCCAACACTAAACCTCTGAAGTGAACCATAATACCAAGCCACAACATACAAGAGGACAACAAACGTTACTAACAGTAAGACCTTCGCAAATCACACTATATGGGGGTTGAGGCTGTAAGAGTACATATTCATTTAACTCGGTTGTGGTATACAATAGACTATAAAAATCAGTGTTATGAGTCAGATTAATTTATTAAGGCTATTGCTTACAATCTAATCAGTGTTTGAGCTTGCAATGCAATAATCTAACTTAAAAAAATATGCATACTGGGACTGTCAGGTTTCTTTCAAATGATTGATGACATGTAAATACTAAACTGACAATAATTTTAATACAGTCATCAGATTATTTCACAATTGTGAATTAAAACAATCTGACTTCAGTGGCAAATGGTAACTTCATTCGTCTCTCAGGGCAAGGAATACGATTCTCACCTCTACTGCACACTCTTAATACAAGGACTTGACAATTTTACGAAAGGTAAATATAGTCGAGTTTTCAACATCACTCACAGTGGATCATGAATGTTTCAGCTTGTAAGAAGACATATCTAACTTAAAGTAACACGCATTTGTTCATAATTTCAAATCTACTAACATCGACATGATATGAAAGAGTGAAGTACACAAGAGAAAAAGGAGGTCTCAGGCATACTGAATCAGTGAGAAAATGGACGTCTCAGTAGGGGTACTCATGAATAAGTTATAGCTACATGTTTTATGGGCTATTGAGCGGAATATGAATCATCTGATTTTAAGTTAACTAACATGTATGACTGGGTCATTACAGCCAGTATCGATTCTGTCACATATCTTCAGTTCTTCCTCAATAGGTATTGTGCAACGGAACAACAATCGTGGCAACAAACACACTTAACTGATGCCTCACCCAACCCCCTGAAGCCAGAGAGCTAGAACTTCATCTGACTGAGTAGGGTTCCAGTTTAGAGAAGTCAGACTTAGAGAGGTCTGGACAAAAACATTTTAAAAGCCCTTTGAATTACCTACAAAACACACTACAACAACATATTGCATTATTTATTCACTGTATCGCCACGATAAGCTTAAGGAAAATTACAAAACACTAAAACATTCATTAAAAATAATTTTGATTCTTTACAATTTTCCTTTTTATTGATATACTATTTAACTTCATCATCCAATAAAAAGATCCTAAAATTTTTTGAAGTGTGAATGTTCAATATTAAAAATACAAGAAACACAAAGAAAATAACTAACATTTGGTGATAAAGTGAACAGGACAAAAACTAATCACATACAGTACAGTAAAACTCAACATAAACACATCAGAATTTTCAGGTGACCAAAACTTTAAAATACTTGTGCAATTCTCTCTCTCTTGATTTATGAAGCCTCGACTTGTGAAAATTTGTAGTTACAAAATTTGAGAATGAAAAGGAAAAAATTATTTACGATAAAAAATTCCGTAGCTACAAAATTTCTTAAGAATTTTTTTGGATCTGAATGTGGACAATCGTTTTTCTTTTCTTTTAGTGAATTTCCTAAGCAGTCTCCAATATTTCACAAACAAAATAAACTAAAATTACAAGACTGAAGGATAAACTAAGTTAAAAGCAGATAGTGAAAATGTCTCCACCATCTAAGAGGACTGTTGGAGAGTGACTTGACATGTTGACTGTGGGAGTGCACATGTTTATTGCAGTGTTACCTGATGTTGGAGGACAATATATATATGCTAGAACCATTACTATTGGTCGCAATATGCTAGGCACTCCTCTAAAACTAACACCATCATTGTACCATCACCATAAGCCCCAATCACCACACTTTCTTGTAAGTAAAATATTTTGATTTTGAGTACAGTAATTAATACAGTACATGTACTATAACAATTCATAGTAAAATATATTCCCGTAAGAACTAAGTCCCTAAACAGTTCCCAAGTTTCATTTCCTAACTCGGGAAATATGTATTTATTGTATATAATTATATTTTGCATAGGAATATACTGTACCTCCCATTCTAATTAGAAATCAATGGAAAAGTCTGTTTCAATTAATGAAATTTTCACTAACAAAGTTTTTCAAGAATACAACCCTTTTGTTGAGCAATCGATGCCAGTACTGTGGATTACACCTTGTAATATCTTCTGCTTTAACCCTTAAATGGTAGCCATGGTCTGTGGGAGATTCATATTCCTTGCAATTTAGCATTAAGCATTTACTTTATCTATTAACTTTCCTCTCCAACATACACATACAGTATCAGCGATGTACAGTAACCGAGACCACAAATGAGACCATACACAATTTTAGCCCTTTAGGATCACCTAAAGATTCATTAGCTCCCCAATTGCTCACCCTAGTTTAACCATTCTGAAGGTTTATCGCCTTGAAACTACAGTAACTTGGTGGGTGGGGGGACTAATCTTCAGGTGATCCTTAAAGACCAAAATTATGAATGGTCTCGTTCATGGTCCCGACTATGTCACTGACACATACTGTTCACTGTACTATACACACTTCCTTATATCTTCATTTGGTACATGAAGTGAATCCTTAAGCATTGACAGTATACTGTGGTGAGCTTTAACAGTGATCTATATTTGGTCACTTATTGGCTTCCATATCCCCATTTTTATGCATAGGTTATATAGAATGTGTACTGCAGGCATTCTGGAGTTGTTGGGGCTGGAGTGAACACTTTACATTTAACAGTGATATGACAACAAGGAGATCCTTAACTGGATTCTATGAGGTAAGAAAAGACCCGGAAAAAAAGATTACCAGATAGATAGATGCAATAAGAAAATTTGGAGACCCTCAATAGGCCAAATAAGCTCAAGACTGTGGAAGTATACGCAAGACCTTTATCCAGCAGTGACTGATACTGAACAGTAGTGGTAGTTGAGCAATGAGGACTAATGGCCCATGTTGGAGGGGGCTAAGAGTAACCAGGAGATAATGGAGAATACTTGTATGATGAAGAACTTGCACAATATTTAGGACTAGACAAAGAGCTGGGTAGAGAATAATCAAGTGATGAGTTACAGCTTGAGTCATGGTTCTCAGAAACACAAGATGCTGGGGAATAAGACAAAGGTGCTGAACCATCTACTGAACTGGCTGGAGAATGGGATTGTGTTTTGTTACTTTGGGTGTGGGAGGAACCTGCTGGGGAACACTCATCATAGGAGGGAAAGTAGTGCAGACGAGTCTGAGTTAAAGACGACCTTGGGGAATAAGATGGGGAAGTTGGTATGCATGGGGAAGTGGGTCTGTAACACGGTGAATAAGGTACGTAGTTCAGCGATGAATCTTCTGATTCTGATAGGTACCGACTGTTGGTGGGTAATGGTTTATATTCTGGTAATGTTTGAGTCACAGTAGGAACATTTGTTGGGTTGTATGGTGGTGGTGATGAGGGTGAACGAGAGGGTAACTCTTCAACTGATGACTGAGTTGGTATGTATTCTTCTCTCGCTGACGGATAATTTTTTTTACCGGACCTTCCTGAAACACTTAGACTCTTTCTGGGAATCCATGAAGGATGGTAAGCAGGAGGATAAACGGGTCCCGATGATGGAGATGAGTGAGATGGGCAGCTTGGGATGTATTCTAGTGGGGCAAATGGACTGTATGAAGGTGATGTTGGGGAATATCTTGGTGGAGTTGGGGCTCTGGGAATCCATGTTGGATGGTAATCTGGGGGAGGTGTGGGCGTGTGACAACGTGATGTCTGGGATTCATGGGGATGGGTTGGGGAGGATTCTTGTGTTGGTGAAGGGTAATGGTTGTAGCTGGCAGAAGTAGGTGAATATCTCAGAGGTGGAGTAGTCATAGTGAGAGATGTTTGCTGGTGAGCTGGTGATGGAGTGTGTGAGAGAGGAACAGCATTAACCAGGCTTGGTGAGTATGGACTCATTACAGCCTGGTGGTGAACTTCGTCTGCCAATAAGGTGCGGACACCAAGAAGGAGAATGCTCAGGTAATGGCCCTAATCCTGTGACCATGTGCTCTGCTGCTAATCACACCAGTTCACCTGCAGGCAGTGGGGGGGGAAAGGTGTGAGCTAATATAAATGACACAGACTATCTATTTCTTAATACAAAATTAAAATATTATAGTCTTACAGTTTAACATGAGTGTAATGTACAGTAGTTAATTATTTTTTTACTAAATAAGCTCTTAATATGAGTACTGTACTGATGGTATTTATCAACCAGTCAAAATGAGTACTGAACAGTACAGTATTGTGTTCTTATCCACTATGCTTAAACTTTTGAGAAATTTTTGCAGGAATCATTAGCAAGCATAGCATAAAGCATATACAGTATGGTACCAAATACTGTACAGGCATAACCTGCACACTCACTGTTTTGCAGGGATATTTTTTTCTTACTACAGGAAAAAAACAAAAATTAAATAATTTTATCTACTTATGAAAGTAAATGTGCCCAACAAACTGACTGACTGACAGCATCCGATGATAGCTCTCCTCACAGTGACTCAGCCAATAGGAGTGACATACTGTATGTATTGTTTGTAGTAATACAGTACAGTATACAGTACCTTGAACACTGCTCACTAAGGAATGTTTGCTCTGCCTTAATGTACTATGTTCTGTGAGCAATTTATTCCCCTCAATGCTTGAAAATTGCCTGGAAATGTTACTGCTGGAAATAAGGAACAAGTGTCAAGGAAAGGAATCAGTTTTGATGTGAAAATGAATGGTGGATTGAACCCGAAGAAACAGTAAACAGGAAAATAAGATAAAATACCTGAGTCTTGGATGACAACTGAACCAAGTATCAACCAGTGGATAAGTATTCAACAAACACTTCCTTGCTGGAGGACTGAGGACGTCTGGGGATGTGCCATACATAGAAACCAACTCTGTAAGGTTTTAAAGACATTGGTAAGAACATATGCCAAGTCTATACCCACAAAATTTGATAACTGGTTACAACTTTGCCACATCAATGACCACAAACTAATAATTGGTCAGGGCATTTACATTAACCTGTCTTGTTGAGACCAACTTCAAATTTACGTAAGGTGGTTCAAGGCCTCCAGAGGTCTAAAGCCACGGCACATTTTCATTAGCATCACAGGACACAGAACATTGAACAGTAAACCCTATATTTCCACCAGGGTTAATGTTCCTTGAAGACCTTGCAAATGCAGAATGATGAATACAGGTACTGTACACTAACTTGTCTCAAGGCAAAATTGGGTTAGGTTCCTAGGTCAGACTGAATAGAGGGAGGAAGAACACATATCCATTCCCTACAGCCACTGTAGCATAACTGACTGATTAGCCAGATCCAGTTGGTGACACACTACTGTACCCTGCAGTTGCCACATTTTGTGATATGCTAAACTTACTTTACTTTATCCTCCTCACCACCAGTTGGCTCTCTAGCCAGTGGGGTGGTAAATCATGTCTCTATTAGACATTGTTGACAAGTACTGGGCATGTATTGGCTCTAAAATGTACCTGAACCAGTGGTGGTCAAGTCTGGTCGTAGATGTGATCACACTTGGTCCCTTCACAACACTTTCTAGGAAGTTATTACAACAGTTCACAACTCTTGCTCCAAAGAAGTTGGCTCTGGAAGTAAACATCTGATGGCTTTGTTGGTTATCCTTGGTCAAATAGCCTTTGTTTCATACCACTTGTATATCAGCATTGTCTAGATTCACTGTATACCTGTACTGTCTAGATACAGTACATGGTTTGTATACCTGTACTGTCTAGGTACAGTCTTGTTCAGATTCTTTTTAAAACTGCTGGAGACAGCTGGCAACTCAAGGCCGTTTGTTTACTATAGTACGTAGTATAATATAATACGAAACAACAAAGCCCAACCATTAAATTAAGCAGCGGGGAACTAAGTAACCAATCCCGATCACTTTTACATTTACCTGTATTGATATTTTTTACTACGTACTATAGTAAACAAATGGCGTTGAGTTGCCAGCTGTCTTCAGCAGTGTTTGAAGAATCTTGAACGAGACTGTACAAAGTGTACATTGTATATCTGCACTGTCTAAGTACATTGTTTGTATACCTGTACTGTCTAGGTACTTTGTTTGTATACCTGTACTGTCTAGGTACAATGTTTGTACAGTAAACTGTACCTGCATTGTCTATTTATAGTACAGTACATCCTGAATTGTATACCTGCAATGTCTATATGCATGCTTAACTGTATACTGTACTCACATTGTCGATATGCATACTGAACTGTATACAGTACAGTACTTGCATTGTCTACACTGTATGCATGCTGAACTGTATACCTGCACTATATGTAATGAACTGTATAACTGTATACCTGCACTGTCTAAATGGATGCTGAACTGTATACTGTACAGTACTTACATTGTCTATACACATGCTGAACTGTATACATACCTATATTGTCTACACACATGCTGAACTGTATACAGTACCTGTATTGTCTCCATACATGCTGAACTGTATACCTATATTGTCTACACACATGCTGAACTGTATACCTATATTGTCTACACACATGCTGAACTGTATACATACCTGTGTTGTCTATATACATGCTGAACTGGATACCTATATTGTCTACACACATGCTGAACTGTATACATACCTGTGTTGTCTACACACATGCTGAACTGTATACATACCTGTGTTGTCTATATACATGCTGAACTGGATACCTATATTGTCTACACACATGCTGAACTGTATACATACCTGTGTTGTCTACACACATGCTGAACTGTATACATACCTGTGTTGTCTACACACATGCTGAACTGGATACCTATATTGTCTACACACATGCTGAACTGTATACATACCTGTGTTGTCTACACACATGCTGAACTGTATACATACCTGTGTTGTCTATATACATGCTGAACTGTATACATACCTGTGTTGTCTATATACATGCTGAACTGGATACCTATATTGTCTACACACATGCTGAACTGTATACATACCTGTGTTGTCTACACACATGCTGAACTGTATACTGTACTGTACAATATTTACATTATAAACTGTAAATTTGTATGATAATTTCAGTAAATAAATATCTATACAGTATATCTATCAGTCTACAGTTTCTATATTTACCTGTCATAACTCTCACTCCATTTGTGAAGGTTACATTCCTGAAAAACTTGAACATAGTTGAGAAATGTTGAGTGTTTAAGAACAATGATTAAAATAAATAAATTATACAAAGCAGTGTTTATTTTTATCTAATTTTAATTATTTTATCATTTCACCATTTATCAGTTTACTAGCCATTTGGGTGGGTTGGTCAGTTCTTTGTTATAACCTTTACTGTCCAATGTTAGTAAAGTACACAAGGAAACTGTAGTACCCAGAGAAAACCTATTTGCTTGGTAGTGCCACACTGGATAACACCCTTCTCACTTCTGACCCAGGCCAGGGAATCGACCCAGGACACAGTAGTGAAAGGTAAGCACACTGAACCACATTTATAAGCTATAAACATTAATTATAAACTAATAGAACCCTGTGCAACAAAATGCTCTGTAGTTTTCAATATATTTCCCCCCCATCTCAAAATCGGGTAAATATACCTTGTACTGTATACACATCACACGTTAAGCTTCACTAGACCAATATCAGCAGCTGATAAGATAGATACTGGTGATAAAAGGCTGATCAGATATGATAAAAGTCTTTACATACCTTTGTATTCAAGACCAGCAATGTTGGAAAAATACCCCCACCCCTGGTAATAATGATCACCACTAGTGTTGAAATCTGGCCGACCCTAAGGCCACCTGCATGTGAATTTGTATACAGTATATAAAGCGTAGAAGGCGTCACTACAACAAGCAAACCTGGCTGGCTGTAACCCTGGGCCCCTGGCACAAGATATAATAACTGATTACCCCCCAGGTTCCCAATTATTGCTGGGTAGACAAAGGCAAATGGCATAAACTGGGCTACTACACCATTACCTTTCTAAAATCCCAAGACAGATGTGGGAAGGGTGTTATTGAGTGGGAGGTTTTCTCCGTGTACTCCAGCTTCCTCCTGCACTAACAGTGAAGGTCAAAAGAGAACAGGTGTGCTTTACAGACAAACAGATCTACTGCTTGACTGGCTAGTAAGCTGACAAGTAGTAGTTATGATGCTACTGTAAAATACTGCACTTGCTTCTTACCACTGTGTAGCCCTGTTAAACATGCTGGTTGAGTTCATGTACAGTCTCCTCCTGTACTAAAACTGGTCCTACGGGGGGAGAGGGGGGGATCATTACTGGACCTTTAGGCAGACCAGCTCGTCAATTACCGGTATAATAAATCCAGTGTGTTCTAACCTATATTATTCTTACGTTAGTATTTTTCAGAAATGATAAGCTATTTTATGGACTCCTCGTACCTAATAGTAGAGTATAACCTAAGAGTGTTATGGTAGGTTGGCCATTAATGAGCTTCACTAAACATAGGGAATATAAAGATAAGAGTGTTATTTTCTTCAAAAATTTCACAAAAACGAATTAATGCTGTGTTATGATGAACTACTTCTCGGTGTGTGTAAAGGAAGACTATGATCACAAGATGGTGCTGGCCATCCGTCAGTCTGGTCTGAGTACCATAGTATGTGGAGCCCCGTGATTGGTCCTGGTCCGGAAGTGGAAAATCTGGTGTGCTCCTGAGTCAGTTACTGAGTACAGTATAGGCAGTGAAGTCAACATCTGGTCTCCTGTCTCCTAAACCATAAGTTTCTAGTGTTACTGTACTCTTATTGCTCCAGAGTTATTATATTTTATATGGTGATGTTTAGGATCTAGTAATTTTATATTATAGTGTAATGGTTAGGATTTAATGTTCAATTATTATTACTTGAGTTTTTCGATTTCTTTTGTTGTATACAGTACTGTATATTTTGTATAAAATTCTGTCATTAGCTTTAGTTAAACTTTTGTAAATAAATAGTAAGTTTTAACTTTTAAGGTAAATTTCCTTATTAAACAGGTTGAAGAATTTGTTATGGGAGGGGTGGGTTAAAAACTTGGTTTGTATCATAACAGCAGATTCTATATGTTTGTCCTTATGGATCTCTGATGATGAGGAACTTTTAGCTATTTCATCTGATTAAACACCCTAATTCTCACCTAACCAAACAAAGTTTCATCTAACATAACAAAGCCTCATCTATGTGATTTATTCTTGTTTAAACCAGTAAAATACTTCAGTGAATGTCTCTGTCAATTTACTGAAGTGCTGTACACTCTCAACACAAATTTCTCCAACACCTGGGCACGATGGATGTGAGAATGGGCAGAATGTGGCTTGTCATCTGGGAATGGTTTTATGAGCTTCTTCATTCATTTTTCAGATGGCATAGTGCTTATAGCGTTTGAGAAGTTTTTGGTCAGTGTACAGTTACAGTGTAGTGACTTGGTGGCATTTTTTTTTTTGCAACTCCAACACTGATTTAACGAAGTACAGTATAAGTAAATTCAAGGGTAACAGCATAAGAATGTGTCACTACTGTATACCTTAATTAAATAGCCATATTATTATTTTGCTATAGAAAAGAGTTTTTTGATAAGGTAAAAAAAAAAAAAAATTGGTGTAGGCATCTTAATGACAAATACTATTATTCTTTTATTATGTTGAGAGGATGCCACCAGGACGAGGTTGCTGGTGATATTGATAAGTTAGTGCGAGGCAAAACCAACAATAAAGTTAATAACAAAGAACAAACTAACCGGTTGAATGGCTAGTAAGTGGTGGAATGTTAAATGAAATAATAAGTCAACACTCACTTACCACCAATGAATAAAAATGATTACATCACACTATGATGACTCTAATCTCAAAGATCATCTGTTTTATGCAATCTAACTTAACCTAACTTAACTATTTGACTTAAACTACACTAATCATTTGACTGGGGAGGTAAAAAGTACATAAAACAGATGAGTGTCCACATGAGAATTGTTCAAGTAGGATGACATCAAGAGTGTCTCCCACCTGAACACTCATCTATGACGAGATGATCCAAGCTTCTGGTGCTGCTATTTTTGAGGGATCCACACAGGGATACAGGTTGTTGGTTCCTTTCATTGAAATGGTTTTTACAGATGATAACAGATGGTAGCAATTACTTTTTAGATAAGACAGGAACCGGTTAAGTTAAGTAGGTTAGACTGCTTCATTGTATAAACATACTGTATACAGTATTCTTGGACCTTGGTGTCCGAGATACGCCAGATACAGGGTAAACACAGGAACGTTGGTGGTGCCTGAGCTCGGATCACCCAACCATAGATGATTACAGTACAGTATGTATTCAGTAGGATAAAGTAATAAAAATTAAAATATGAGAAATGTTTTACTCATTCACATTTTGGCCTTTTCATGAGGCAAAAATCATTTATTTTTTAATGTATTTTGAAATGTCTTAACCCTTTGGCTGTGGGAGGTTCCCTAAGCTGAATAAAATGGCTTGGCGGTAGCCTGAATAAAATGGCAAGAGCGGGAATTGCAGCGAAAGGGTTAAAGTTGCTGGTTCAGGCATGCAACAGGTGTAAACAAATACCTGATGCTTTTACATTCAGCTCAGTACAGTACTGTACAGTTACTGTACAGTACCCAGTCTATTAACAAATGTATAAAAACAAAATCCAATAACTGTTGGCTTAATGGCATTTACATTGTAGAGTACGTACAGTACAGTACAGTATTATACAACAGTCTTTTATGACTAGAAAAAACGTTTTATACCTGCAAGGAAAATTAGTTAAAATTAAACTTGATACCGACCTTTCGGTGATATAAATATTTGGGGTACTTTTCTGTTATACACCTGCAAAATTTTTAAGATATTAAGTTAGTTGAAAAACTAACTTACGATCTTAAAAATTTTCGCAGGATCACCTAAAGAATTTCCACCCCAGCTTATTTCACCTAAAGATTACCCACCCTTACAAGGTTAGGTTAGGTTAGCATTAGGATGGTTAATCTTTATGTGAAAGAAGCTGGGGTGGAGATTATTCAGATGATCCTGGAAAAGTATATAGTGTACTCTATAATTTTTCTTATATAAATACTAAAAACCATTTCTTATTGCAGAGGCAAATTTCATCTGAAAAATATATATATACCTGTAATGAGTTTCAACCATACTTGAATTATGGCTAAATTTCTATGCATACTTTAATACCAAATTAATTTTTGTCTTCATTCACTGGAGCCAACACCCTCTTAAAACATAAAACTTACAGAACGACAGGGTTCGATATATTTTTCTCTCCATACAACTGTCCATGTACCTTTGGCGCTCTGGTAAATTGAATAAAATAAGTAAGCTTTGCCTGATTAATGAACCACTTGAGCATTGCCAACTGAGCCTAAATTTAAATAAATAAAGAAGGTGGCAACAGTCAATGGTGTGTCACTGTTAAACTCAATTATTTAGTACACTGGTGATTTGGTTTACTTCAGTAGACTGTCCTGTTGGTACCCAAACTATCTGCTTATTTACTGTAACCTAACAGAAAAACATGAGTTCACAAAGAATTATGTTTAAGGAAAAAAAAAACCCAAAATAACACATATTGCAAATCCTCTTAATTTTTGTGATTTTCATGAGGTACGAAAGTATTTATTTCCAATATAAAAACTGTCAATATTTCCTGGTTAATATGACAAACTATTCCAGAGATTTTACCAATTTGTCTACAGTTGATGGAGTCGTTTGTGGCATCAGGAAATGAAAACAAATCAGTAATTTAGGTAAAGGTGTAAAATAGCACTAACACCAGAAGTTGTTTGTTGATTTGGTTAAAAAAAATATACACACTAATAGCATGATATCAAACACAGAAATGGAAACAATACATAGAACCGAATAGAACCTGACCTAACATACCCATAGGTTGGGTATGTTAGGTCAGGTTCTATTAGGTTATGTGCATTATCATGTTAATTTATGTGTTAAACAACTTACCTTAATATTGAGGTTGATACACATCAGCAACGGCGAGGAGGAATTCGTGGAAGCGTTCACCATCATTTAGGAAAGGTCTCTTAAGAGGGAGACAGTGAGGTAAACAACAAAAATGGCACCGGGAGGAGAATTGTGAAGGGGGGTAGAGTAAATAAAAAAAAAACTTAAGATTATACTAGAAAGTTGTCGTTTCTTTTAATATACTTAAAATCAGCAAAACAATAAGTATAGCAAAAATAAAGAGAATCAACAAACAACTTCTGGTGTTATCACTATTCTACACCTTTACCGTAATTTAGGGCCACAGTTTACAAGGAAACTTATTACTTAACTTTAATAAGTACAATCAGTATAAGTCTCTGAGAATGATGGTTTAACCCTTTGAGGATGACGTTTACCAATTTGCATACCTACACTGTCTAGGTACATTGCATACCAACACTGTCTAGGTACATTGCATACCAACAGTCTAGGTACATTGCCTACCTACACTGTCTAGGTACAATGTATACATGCACTGTATAGGTACAATGTATACCTGCACTGTTCAGTGTAAACTATTAAAACGATTTTAGTGATTAAATATCTACATACCTATCAACCCGGGTCACAAGTCACAACGTCAAGCAGACAACTAAATAGTTCTCACCTGTTAGAGCTATGAGAGCTGCCTTTAACTAACATCTAATATATATTATGCTTGCTTTAGTTACCAATATAACAAACTATATACACGTATACACTAGGAGACTAACCCACCTTGACTTTTGTGCCTTCGTCTCACACCAATCCCAAGACCTTGCGTCTTGTGAAGTGATTACAGAAAATTAGTTGTGGTTCTCTATTCCTCAGTCATCATAGAAAACCATTATACAATATTTTATTGCGTGACTTATTCATTTATATGATTAAACACCACCTGCGAAGGTTGAATTAATTGATAGATCGATATTTATTCAGTAATATCGTTATATACATGTTTACAACAGATTCAGCATGTATAGAGATAATGCAGATGTATATTATACATTTCAGCATGTCCTGTATATAGATAAATTAATGCAGGTATACAGTTCAGCATGTATAGAGTATGAGTGCAGGTATAGTTCAGCAAGTATACACACAATGTAGGTGTACAGTTCAGCTTTTTCTGACTGACACGAGGTTGGTCAAATCTTGAAACAGGTGTAACTTTTCAAAGGTCTTTAATCGCGTAACAATGTCAATAATTACACTAGTACACCAACAATTAAAGATTGTGAGCAACAGAACTGTTGGAAACTAAAAATCCTACTTACCTCTAGGCTAGAGGCCTGGCAGACGTACCACTTCTTCCTTTGACTACAATGCTCATTTTACATACCAATTATCGGTTTTATCCTCTTCACCACTGATCGGCTCGTTAGCCTTTTGGGCGATCGGTCACGTCTCTGTCATGCACTGTTGGCAAGTACTGGGCATGCACCGGCTCCTGAATGTACCTGAACCTGCTCCAGTGTTGGTCAAGTCTTGTCTTGAGAGAGCTCACACTCGGTGCCGTCACAACACTCTCTGATAGATTGTTCCAAGAGTTCACAACTCTCACTCCGAAAAAGTTTGCCCTCACAGTTTTCTGGACTTGCGGCTTCTTCAATCTTGAGCTGTGACCCCTTGTGGGGCGAGCGTCCGCCAGCTCCAAGAAAGGACACGCTTAAACACCTCAATTAGGTCGCCCCTTGCTGTAGGTTATGCATCTAAGCTACTGTGCCGAGTAGCATTTATATATATAATTACGTGGCAACACTGCACGTGTTATGTGGCAACATTGCCCCGAGGCTGCCATGTGGCAAGGCAGTCTCAGTCTGACTGTGTGAGCCGTGCATGGCACACGCTAGTCACCACTTGTATTTCTCTCATCCATAATAAACGGACTTCAGTGTTACCCGGTGTTTCCCTACCCATCACTGCATTCTTCAGGGAACACTTGTAACCATCACTTGCCGTCTGTAGTATAAGCTAGGCAAGTTCAGGCGCTCCAATCTCTCAGGGTAGTTGAGGTGCCGAAGTGCAGGCACCAGTCTGGTGGCCCTCCTTTGAACATTTTCAACCAACTGAGTCACTAACATATCGCGGGGACCAGACGGGGTGACAGTACTCCAGATGGGGAAGCATTTTGTAATGACCACGGTCATACACGTCAGTTAACGTAAAATCAGACGATTCATATTACGCTCAATAGCCCACAAAACATGTAGCTATGCTTTCTTATTGGAGTTCCCCATCTGAGGAATCCGTTTTCTAATCGCTTCAGGACGCCTGAGTCCTCCGTTTTCTCTCAATCTTAGAATGCACCCGAGACTTCATTATTCCTTAGTAATGACAGAATTTGAAATTGCAACTGTTGTTGCAATTGGTGAGGCAACCTAGATATGTCTGTTTACAGTTGGAACATTCAAGATCCATTGTGAGTGGTGTTGAAAGCTTCAACTGTCCTTATTGTTAGTAAAACTTGTCAAGTAAGTGAGTACCGAATTTGTCAGTTAGAGTGACTTCCTGAATTTCCTATCGCTACTGAAGTCA